CGTCCAGCAGGAAGGCCTCTGAGACGCTGCCGTCGAGCATGGACCGCCGCTCGCCTGCATACATGGTGAGGGCCATGCCAAGCAGCCCCCATCGGGTAGCCCGCGAGGATGCCGCGATCCTGGATGATGGCCAGGTCGACGAGCTCGCACGCCTTCCAGAGGTCGATGAGCGCCGCCGAAGCGCCCTCACCTCGCGCATGTGCCGCTTCCGACCGCAGCGCTTGCCACCAGACGGCCTCCTCGGCCGCGCGCCCGCGGCCGCCCCAAAATGTACCGGCGACGCCTGGGTCGATCTGCGCGTCCCATCGCCGCGCCTCGGGCTGCTGAACTCGGCTCCACAGGCGAAGAAGCCAGCCGAGCAGCCCTATGGGCCGAACGCCGCCTTGGGGCTTGGGCAGCATGACCACCAGCGAGCCGGTGATGACGTCAGGCCATCCGCCGAGCTCCTCACCCTTCATGCCGAAGTCGACGGCGGCCTCGAGGAGCTCGTCGCTGAGGTCCGCGGCCGCGCAGCCGCTGCCTGTGAGGGTTGGAGTGGGATCACGCTGATACCCTCCGCAGATGCGGCTCCCCTTCCGACCCCCGTCACTGATGCTGATGCTGCTGCTCCTCCTGGTGCTTGGGGAGAGCTGGTGCCAGAGCCGCTCCCTGCTGCAGCTGCCGCGAGCGCTGCAAAGGAGCAGACGGGGGGCTGGATTGTGATCACGCTGACCCCCGCCGCAGATGCGGCTCCCAGTCCACCCCCTGCGGATCCGTCTCCTGCAGTGTCTCGGGGCTCTGGTTGGTCGCCGTCGTCGCTCTCGTACTTGCTGAGGTGCGCGTAGGCGTAGTGGGTGCACAGGTCCATCCACTCTGCTTTGTCCTGCCCCAGGTCGGGGGAGCGCAGGTGTGGGGGCCATCCACGGCTCAGGCGCTGCAGGGTTCGACGCACTCCCGCTTCGCCGACGCCGATGGCGCTCCACTCCCCCGTGGGCGAAGCGTGGGGAAGGGCTGCACACGTGGCTGGTGCCTGCGGCTCAGGAGCGAGGCCCGAGCTGCCGCGAGCAGCGCCCTCGAGCCCGTCGCCCCCGGGGCCCTCCCCTGCGAACGCGATGGGGGCTCCTGGCAGGGGCCTGCTGTAATCCCCGTGCTCCTCCAGCCACCTCCTGGACTCGTGGTAGTTGTCCACCGTCCTGTGTACTTCTTCCACCCATCCGTCATGATCGATGAGGCCCAGCTGGTGAAGGAGACGCACCATCTCCAAACGACCAGGGCCCCCGCGCCGCCATGCAGAGGAACGCACCTCGCGGGCCGCGCGCATGCGCCTGTCGAAGTCCTGGGCGAGGCCTGTGGCGACGTGCGTCGGCAGGCCCAGCACGCGGAAGATGTAGGGCACGCACTTCTCCCTCCACTCGCCCTCGTCCTCGTAGTGGTTGGGGTTGCTGGGGTTTGGCGCCCAGCTGCGGGCGCGCCTCCCCAGGACGCGCTTGTAGCGACTCAAGGCCCTGGTCTGCATGCGCTCGGCCTCCCTCGTCTCGGGGTCCAGCTTCATCTCGGGCTGACCGCCTGGCAATCGGTCTCCTGAGTCGCAACCGACGATAAAGCTCATATGCGTGAATTAGTCGTTCAGGTGCATGAGCTTCTTGCCCTTGAAGCTGGCCTTGGGGCCCTTGATGGGCCTCGCTCGCGCCTGGCAGCCGAAGCTGAAGCTCGGCGGGCCCCCTCGGCCCCGGTAGAGACTGGCGTCGTCGGGGCCGATCTGGTACGTCCAGGCTAACTCGTCCTCCACGCCCTCGCACAGGGCCTGGTATGCCTCGGTCAGGGCCTGCATGTCGTTGCCCATGTCGATCTGCGCCCTCACGGCGCTGTGGTCCCACTGCTTCTCGAGCATGGGTCCGAATGGCCTCGCCTTGGGAAACGCCATCGGTCCCTTGGCCCTGAACGACTGGCCCAGGTCGCCGTAGCAGGTGAGGCTGAGCTTGACCGCCATGTGGGGCCTGCACGGGTTGGCGTACCCCCTGGCCGTCATGTCGAGGCGCGAGGAGTCCACGACGCGGTCCAGCAGCTCGGCGCCGACGATGAACCAGTCGAGCTCGGACGGCTCCCTGGCGAGGGGGCGCTGACAGGCGCCCTTGCCCGTGTCGACTACGCCCCCCCTATCTTGCAGAGCCAATTGCCTGCGCGCTGGTGGGGCCTGTCGGGCTCGACGTTCCAGTCGCCCGCGAGGGCCCAAGGCTTGCCCGTGCGCTTGAGGAGCACGCCGACCCCCTGCAGCACGGACTTGCTGTTCTCGCCAGGTAGATCGAGCCCAGCAAGAAGCCGCCAGGCACTACCCCGTTGATGTGTGTAACAGTGGCTCTGCCGTCGGCGACGTGGCAGCTGGACTTGCTGCCTTGCGCGCCTGGGCCGCACACGCCGCGCGCGGCGACGCCAGTTCCGCCGCTGACGGCACGCTGCTGCGAAGCGCCCATGGTGCTGACGCCAGGGGTCAGCACGGCGCTCCAGCCCACTTGCCTGCACCACTGCTCCTGCTCCTCGGCGCGGTAGCCATTGAGGTGGTGCTCCTGGAAGCACATCGCGTCGCCGATGTGGGCCTGGGCGACCTCCTGCTGCTGGGGGCCCTGCTGCTCGCCGAGGATGGTGGTGAAGGGGCCCAAGCCGCTGCCGTTGAGGCTGGCAAGCGCGAAGATGGGCCTGCTGCCCCCGCCCCCCCCCCCCCCCTTCTCCCCCCGCGGACCGAAGGCCCTGGAGGAGCTTCTGGGCGCGCTGCTTGGGTTTTGCGGCAGCCTGCGCAACGGGGTCTGCGGCAGGGGAACCGCCGCCGCCCTCTGCGCCAGCGCCGCCCGTGGCGCCCTCCTTCGAGGCGTCGTCCTCCATGCTCTCGAGGATGTTGGAGATGTCCGCCTCGTCGATCTCCTGTTTGTCGCCACCGTCGCGTTCGACCGCGGCTCCTGCGGTTGCCGCGCGCTGCGCCAGGCGGCGGAGCCCGGCGACCTGGCCTTCCCACTGCTCGGCGAAGCCAGGGGCGAGCATGCCTGAGGCCTGGTTGAGCGCCGCCAGGAATGCGGACGCTCGCTCGCCTTCGCTGAGCGGTGCTCCAGGAGAGGCAGGGGCGGCCCCTCCGCCGAGCGCAGCCTCGCGAGGGGGGCCGTCCCGTTCGCGGAGCTGCTTGGCCAGGAGGTTGTCGATGAGCGCCTGCAGCTCCAGCTCGCTGAGCTGGACCGATGTGGGTTTGGCCTCGGAGAGCTCGTGTTCCAGCTGCTGCGCTTCCTGACGCTTAGCCTCCACGATTGCCTCTGCGCCTTCCACCCCATCGAGTCGTTTGATCTCGCTGCGTAGCTTCCCCAAACGGCGGGCACGATCTGTCTTTTCCGCAGACTGCGGCCCACCGACTGCCGCTGCTGCTGCGCCTCCATCGCCGCCATGGCCTGGGGACTGACTGTTCTCCAGCTTCTTGACCTTCCTGCGCAACTGGTTGAGCTCGTGGCGTTCTTTGGCGTCCAGTTGTGACATGCCACTCCACCATGAGCTTGCACCAGAACCGCTCTCCCACCAGTCATATCCACAGCTGCGACAGGCGTGCCTGGAGCCCCAGTTCTTCTTGGCTCCGCACTTCGGGCAGTCCCAGACCCTGGGGGCGCCGCCGCCACCGCTGCCCCTGCCTGGTTGCTGACCACCCCGTTGTCCTCGTCCGCTGCCTCCTCGACCGCCGCCTCCGCGCGCGCCGCTTCGATCACCCCCTCCAAGTCCTGCCATTGGTCGAACCTGCCGCGGCTGGGCTCCCAATCGGGCGACTGGGGCCGAGTGCCGGAAAGGTGATGGATATGAAAGAACTGTGGCCTCTGAGGCCTCGCTGAAAGCTTGGTCGGTTTGGAATCTGACCCAAGAAGTGACGCGACGGCGAGAGCCAGCCACATGGGACCAGACATCTGCCCTGATCGCGTCATCTTGAGCCAAATTGGCTACGGATGATGATGATGATGATGATGATGATGATGATGATGATGATGATGATGATGATGATGATGATCGCGCTCTCCCGAGGAGGGGCGGCGCCGAGACGCGCTCGCCCTCCGAAATTATGATGATGATGATGATGATGATGGTGATGATGATGACGATGGTGATGACGAGGAGGAGGAGGAGGAGGAGGAGGAAGAGGAGGAGGAGGAGAGAGAGGATGAGCATGAGGATGAGGATGAGGAGGATGGTGATGATGCTGATGTTGATGATCATGATGATGACGATGGAAGTCGTGATGATGCTGATGATGATGGTGAAAGTCATGATGATGCTGATGACGATGGTGATTAGGGTTAATATGATTATGATAGTGCTGGCGGTGATGATGCTGATGGTGATGATGCGGAGGAGGATGAGGATGAGGATGGCAATGTGGATGATGATGCTGGTGATGATGACGATGAAGATGATGCTGATGATGCTGATGAGGATGACGCTGGGGTGATAATGGTGATGGTGATGATGATGATGGCGATGATAATGCTGATGATGATGGTTATGATGATGATGCTGATGCTGTTGACGCTGATGATGCTGCTGCTGACGATGATGCTGATGCTGATGCTTGTGATGACGATGCTGCTGATGATGATGACGAGGAGGAGAAGGAGGAGGAGGGCGAGCGGAGGAGAGCGACCATTATGACGGGGATGAGATGAGGATAGGCATGAACGCCACGCGTAGGTGCGGAGTAGCAGAAGGACAACGACTACGACGACGTTGAGGAATAGGAGGACGAGGAGGAGGAGGAGGAGGAGGAGGAGGAGAAGAAGGAGGCGGAGGAGGACGACGACGATGCGGAGGAAGAGGACCAGGAGGAGGAGGAGGAGGCGGGAGGAGGGCGAGGACGACTACAACGAGGTCGGGGATGAGGAGGACGAGAAGGACGAGAAGGGCGAAGCTGACGACGAGGAAGGCTGTGAGGAGGACGAGGACGAGGAGGCCCAGGAAGAGGCCGGCAGCGAGGCAAGCGAGGGGAGGAGTGCAGGCCAGGTCGCCTTGTGCCTCGCCACGCTCACAGACTCGAGGTTCTGCAGCTCGCCGGCGCGCTGCTCCAGCGCCTCCCGCAGCGAGTCCTCCGAGGTCTCGAACGAGAGGTTGCCCACGAAGAGGGTGGCCTTCGTGCGCTCCTCGGCGGAGGATCGAGCCGTCGAAAGTCGATCCGTCGAGGATCGACACTCGGTCCTCGATCGAGGACCGATCCGTCCATCGAGGATCGACCCGCGGTCCTCGATCCGACGAGGATCGAGGGTCGAACGAGGGTCGATCGAGGATCGAGGCCCGAGGGTCGCTCCTCGGCGGCAGGCTCTTGCGCATGTTCGGCCTGCGTGGAGGCCCCTCGGCGGGACCCGGGACCGTCAGACGGCGACGAGGTCCCGGGAGCAGGGTCCGGACTTCCGGGGAGCCATCAAGTCTGCCTGCGGCTGCTCCCCCTGGAGGAGGAGGAAGAAGAGGAGGCGGAGGAGGAGGAGGAGGGAGGAAGAGGAGGAGGAACAATACGAATAATACTACGAATCGTATTACTACTAGTAATCACAGTAATAAGACTGACAGCAACAAAGAAGGCCAATACTGCCAAGACGAATCCGCGCCCTACCTCCCCATCCTGCTCTGAGCTCTTTGCCTGCTGCCTTCGCCCGGCCCCCCTCGGCCACCCTACAGCCGAGGTTGATTGGGGAGGACACCCGAGAGGGCACAAGACCCTTCCGAGGACCACAGGGCCATCAGGAGTGTGGATAGGAGACCACATGCGAACCCTACCCCTACCAACCACGATTTCTAAGGGGAGGGTGGGGTTCACTTCGTTCCAGAGCGTTCCGGAACGCTCTCGGAGCGTTCCAGAACGCTTTGGAACGGATTTATCCTCGTCCTAGCCTCAGTTCGGGCATGTCCTCTTACAGACGGATTTTGGAAGAAACGCGAATCATAGCCAAAACATCTCCAAACACACAGCCAAACGCAGTGGAAAATCGCGCCCTGGCTCTTTTGTTTTGGGTGTGGGTGACAATGTTTGAACATTCCTCCTCCTTCTCCTTCTCCTCCTCGTCCTCTCCCTCCTCCTCCTCCTCCTCCTCCTCGTCCTCCTCCTCCTCCTCCTCCGCTTCCTCCTCCTCCTCCTCCTCCCCCTCCTCCTCCGCTTCCTCCTCCTCCTCCTCCTCCTCTTCCTCCTCCTTCTCCTCCTCCGGCCCCGTCCGACTCTCGCCAGGCCGCCCGCCCCGCCCGCCTCGGCCTCGCGCCGGCGCGCTCGGCGCCGTCTGCCTGCGCTCCCCTCCCTGGCCAGGCAGCGCGGCCTGGCCATCGCTCGGACGTCCATTCCCTGTCCATTTTTTCGGTTTCGTGCGTGGCTTTTTCGCCAGATGATCAAGGATGCTCCTCGATGGTCCTCGCCGAAGGAAAAATGCACACGTCCGAGCGATGCCAAGCCCCTCCCTCGCCAGGCAGCGCGGCCTGCCCGGGCCCTGCGTGGATGGCGCGCGCCGGGCCTGGGATCCGTGCGGTGCTCTTTCGCCGTCCTTTTCCTGGGGAGAGCCACGGCGTGCAACCCTCACGGAGGACGTGCCGGGTCGAACGAGGGTCAAGCGAGGGGGGGGGAGGGATCGAGGCGGGGGGGGTGCGTGCAAGACTCATATCCGTATCCACTGCCTCTTGGACCTTCTTGGAAGCGGCGCCACAAGGCCGAGGCGCACTGGATATGGATAAACATCGAGCCTCTATAGGGGCCAAATTTATCCATCTCCAGTGCGCCTCGGGTTTCTTGGGAAGGGAGCCCGAAAATCCATACTGCAGTGGATATAGAAAGAAGTATTGCCCGCAGGGGGGACGGAGGCGACGGAAAGGGGGGAGGGAGTCTCGAGGACCGATCGCTCGATCGCGGATCGGCGGCCGCTCGAGGATCGAAGGCAGGCCGTCAACACGAGGAGGGTGGCCGCTGCGCGCTCCTCTCGGGCGGAGGGTCGGTCGAGGGTGCGAGGTCGATCGAGGGTCGAGGGGAGGAGGGATCGAGGGAGGGAGGGAGGGTCGAGGATCGAGGGAGGGAGGGAGGGAGGGAGGGAGGATCGAGGATCGATCGAGGATGCAAGGTCGATCGAGGGATCGAGGGTCGAGGGGGGAGGAGGAGAGGGGCAGGGCGACGGAGCGAGGCCCGAGCGATCGACACAGGATCGAGGGCCGACCGAGGAGCGGGGGTCGATGGGGGATCGAAAGAGGGGGCTTGTCCACGAGCAGAATGGCCTTCGTGCGCTCCTCGGCAGAGGTTCGAGATCACATGGGGGATCGAGGGTGAATCGAGAAGCAAGGGGCCAGGCGTTTGGACGTGATGGCCGTGAAGGAAAAGAGAGGTGATGAGGCGAGGGGGAGGAGGAGAAGGAGGAGAAGGAGGAGGCGGCGGAGGCCGAAAAGGGGGGGGGCGGCGATGACGGGGAGGCCTTCGTGCACTCCTAGGAGGAAGGATCGATGATTGAGGAAGGCTCGAGGGTCGATGAAGGATCGAGGAGACAGGTTTCGGCGAGAACGGAGAGGCCAGAGGTCTTGCGGGCTCCTGGGGTTCGGCACCGAGTACGTTTCACCCAATTTCCTGAAATTGTCCGAGAAGTGTGACGCCATCGCGGGGGAAGGGAAATCCAAAGTCACCTTCTTCTGTAGGCCATAAGCACGGATCCGAATGAGCTTCCCCGCCTGTTCCGTCGCACACTTGCCTAGAATGTCGGAGGCGATCCTTTCTAACGTCAAAGCCATGAGACGATCCTTGAACCCCTGAATGAGCAGGGTATGAGCACCCTCTAGAGCAACTGAACTGCTTCCAGCCGGGGTGGGACTGTCCGAGTCGACGGCCCTTCCTTTCCCCGAGAGAGGCACTGCATGCGAAGACGGAACTTTCGAAACAAATGACTGATGTGCCTGTTCTAATGCATCGAGACGAGCCTGCAATCCGTCCTGGGCTGAAGTGACCGAGGAGATGTTGTCCGTCATGTCCTTGATCTTTGACCTTGGGCCATCACTGTCTCAGCGATCGGCCCGAGATTCGCTTGGAGCTTCTGATCTAGCATGCTACTCGTGCTTGCAAGGTGCTCAGCCAACAGGGGTTTGATGGTCTCGAGATCCGCCATTGCCACGGCAGCAACCGAGGGAGAACGGGGATTGCACACTGCTCTGGCTGGGGTGCCCAAAACAGCCCCTGTGGCAAAATGCTCGAGATGCCCTCAGCAGCGGACAAGCTCGAATTGCCAGGCCGAGCAGATCGAACTTGGGCCAAAATGGCTACGGATGGTGATGATGATGATGATGATGATGATGATGATGATGATGATGATGATGATGATGATGATGATGCCGCTGCCGTTGGAGATGATGATTATGGTGATGATGTTGTTGATGATGATGATGATGATGAGGAGGAGGATGATGAGGAGGAGGAGCCAGCGTAGAAAGATAAGGTGGAGGAGGGGGAGGGGGAGGAGGATTAGGAGGAGGAGGAGGAAAAGGAGGAGGAGGAGGAGGAGGGGGAGGAGGAGCAGGATGAGGAGGAGGAGGAGGAGGAGGAGGGGAAGGAGCAGGAGGAGAAGGAGGAGGAGGAGAATGAGGAGGACATCCTCCTGCTTCTCCTCCTCCTCCTCCTTCGCTAGCTCCCCCCCTTCCTGCTCCTGGTCCCTCCTCCTCGTCCCCCTCCCCCCTGGTCCTCTGGGAGGGCACGGAGTCGCTCCCGAGAGCCCCAGGGTCCTCAGGGTTGAACTGCGGCTTCCTCCCGGCCGTGGAAGGGACGGGCCGCAGCTTCATCTGGAAGAGGCCCTCGCTGCTCATGGCCTGCGCCGCAGCCGCTGGGCGATGGAGGCCGCCTTCGCCGACGACGACGGCGGCGCCCACGTTAACAACAACGTCGACACCGTCGCCAACGCCGACGACGCCGCAGACGACGACGCCGCCGACGACGTCGACGACACCGACGGCGCCGACGCCGACGGCGGCGACGAAGCCGACGACGAGGCCGAGGCAGACGCCGCCGCAGACGATCGAGCTTCGAGGTTCGAAGATCAAGCCTCGAGGCCCGTGGCCTGCGCCGAGGCGGAAGGGCTCGAGTTTTAGTCTGCGTTTTTAACTTGTGCGCGTCTCTAGGCGTCCTCGCCGCCACGGCTGGGAACGACTCGAAAGGTGCCGATTTGTGAGGGAGGAGGAGGGTGAGGAGCGAGGACCGAGGATCGAGGTTCTATACCATTGGCGCTTCAGGGCCTTCTCACTTAAGGGCCTCCGGGGGCCTCATGGGGTCCTCCAGGGACCTCTGGAGGCTTGCAGACGAAGTCGTCGTCGTTGTCGCCTGGTGGTGCAAGCCACGTGGTGCAAGATAGGTCGTGCAAACTACGTACGTCGTGCAAGCTACGTAGGTGCGGGCGCATGACGTGCCCACGAGACGTCCATGGGCGGGCACAGGGCGAAGACCCGGCCTTACCACTCAGCACGAAGCGCCCACGAGGTCCCCACGGGTTGGCACCAAGCGGGCACTTCGGAAGATCATCCACTGTCGAACAAAACCCTAACCAGGACCGTCGCGGAGCAAGAACGACGACGATGGCTACGAAGGCGACGGCGACGACGGCGGCGGCGACGACGACCCAGCTGCCGCCTCCACGATCAGCTAGACAGCCATCCCCTTCCCGCCCATCCTCCCTTTCAATTCCCTCCTCCTCTCTCCTCCTCCTCCTCCTCCTCCTCCTCCTCCTCCTCCTCCTCCTCCCCCTCCTCCTCTTCCTCCTCCTCCTCCTTCCCTGCTCCTCCCCTTCCCCTGCCTCCTCCTCCATCCTCCCCCCTCCTTCTCATCCTCCAGCATGGCCTCAGCAGCGCTACTTGCGCTTATGAGGCCATGCTGACCAGCGCAATCCAATCGAAGTCCCCGTCCCTCCATCCTCCCTCCTCCTCTCTCCTAACCTCCCCCCGTTTCGAAGCACGCCTAGCGCGAATTGCCTCGGCACGCCAATACCAATACCTCACTCCCTCCTCCCTCCCTCCCTCCCTCCCTCCTCCTCCACACTCCCTCCTCCTAGTCATTACCCTTCCCCACCCCCCGCAGGGCAACGGCCACGCCCACGACAGCACCCCGCTCAAACTCGGCCCGAGCCGCGCCCCCCGCGCGCGGGTTACGGCGGCGACGACGACGCCTGCGCGGTCAGCTCGCCGACCTCCTGGGTCTCGTACTCCACCACCACCTGCCGCCGCCCGCCGCCCGCCCCCGACCGCCGCCCCTGGCGGCCGCTTCCGCTCTCGCCGCTCGCCTTCCGCCCGCGCCCTCCCGCCCGCTTCCGCTCGGCGCTCGGCGCTGGCCGCTGGCCGCCGCCGCCTCGGCGCTCGGCGCTCGGCGCTCGCCGCCGCTGCCGCCGCCGTCGGTGTATGTATCTACATAGATACATACATACAAACGTAGATATATAATTTTACTTATACTTACATGTGAATATGCACATACGGATCTCTCTGTCTCTCTCTCTATTTCTCTCTCTCTCTCTCTCTCTCTCTAGGAATATATATATGTATAAATCGATCTCGTCGCCGGCTAGCACGGTCGAGGTATACCACATGGCGCAGAGGTTGCCCCTCGACCACACGAGCCGTGCGACAGGAGCGGGGAAACAACTGCTCCCCCCGGGGCGGCAGTGTTCCGGGCAGGCGCAGCTCGAACGCGCGGGGCCCCGCTCCAGAGCCACAGCGCGCACCCTGATCTGCAGCGTTGCCCGGGAGGCAGTGACCAGAGGAGCACCGCCGGGTACACTCAGCACATGTGCGTCCACTGGCTAGGGCAGGGAAGAAGAACAAGAGGGCTCCACGGCCAGGGGGGGGGGCAGATTCTCGTTCTGGGGACCTTCCTGGAGTCACTCCCTCCAGTCATGCATGCGTCGGTGCTGCGTCGAACGTCCGCTGCCTTGAGTCTAACTTGAGTTGAACTTGAAGTGAGCTTGGGTCAACACTAGAACCGAACAGATGTGTCAGGTGGGCTCCAGGAAGGTCCCCCAAACGAGCATCTCATGAGGGGGAGCAGCCCCGATTGAGGGGAAGCCGCGCCGGTAAGAGGACAGGCCGAGGCATCCGATGGGGGTGGCATGAAGAGGGGCGGCGCCGCGCCCAGACCCCCGACGTCCTCTGGGATCCGACGCTGCAGAAACATGCAACACCGCGAATAGTCACCGCTAGAGCCCTGGACACAACCTTTCTGCGTCATTGTTCGAGCCGGAGTGATCTGTGAGCGTCCAGGGGCGAGAAGACGGGCAGTGACACAATTGCAACGCCCGGATCTGAGAGTGGGGGCGTTCCCTCACACCACGTGAGAAGGTTCGACTCCTTCCCTGGGGCCGGCTTCTCGCCCAGAGCACCTTTTTTTGACTGCCCCAGGGCCCGTTTAAAAGGCCACCCGCTGCCTGGTCGCACAGGTCGGCTCTGGGCACGGCCGCGTGCATGGGAGCGGGAGGGACAACGCCCATGGGCGGAGAAGGGGGGGAAGGATGGGGGGAGGGGAGAGGAGAGGGAAGGGGAGAATGACAAGCTGGGTCGCCCATCCCGCCCATCCCTTCCCATTGCGCCGAATCCTTTCTATCCGCCGACTGGTGGGGTGTCGTAGGGGACCTCGATTACAAGATGGCAGTTCCAGGATTGGGCCCATCATCGCTGGGGGGATTGTACATTGAAGGGAGGGGAGGCGGCGGATGATCACGAGGAGGATGAGGACCCGGCCGAGGAGCAGCAGGAGCAGGAGGAGCAGGAGGACGAGGGGAACGTGGAGGAGGGAGGAGGAGAGGAGGAGGAGGAGGAGGAGCAGCAGCAGGAGCAGGAGCAGGAGGAGCAGGATGAGGAAGATGAGGAGGAGGAGGAACAGCAACAGCAGGATGAGTAAAGGGAGCAGAGGAAGGCGAAGGAGGGGAAAGCGCCAAGGTGAACGACGGGAGCAAAGCAATGATCCTGAAGTATGGCCAACGCTGCAGTGGGAGCAGCATCCTTGAAAGTTCAACGACGTTCCGATTGCAAAATCACGTAGGGAAGACCAGCACATTGAATCATGTAAATGCAACAAACAAACAAGCGCCAAATAGGCGGGAAGACAGGCGCACGCGCAGTCGGGGGAGAGAGGAGACGAGCACTCACATTGAGTCATTATAGTTCGTATAGATTGGACAGGGATGCCCTCAGAGGGGGGAGGATCGCACACCTCGGTTATCAATGGGCGGGAGGCGTTAATCTGGCAACCGTGGGCTGAAGCTGGATCGCCCTCCAAACGCACATCGAGATGATCTGAAGATCCCAGAACAACCATTGACTACAGTCATGGTGCCCCATCAGGAACGCCAAATAATACACCCATCAGGAACGCCCATCAGGACCGCCAAATGTTGAAACTGTTTTTTTTTATTTCCCGCGATAACGGTCGTCACCGGCTCCGCGCCCCCCCCCCCCCCAAGGTGACGTTACGTTCCGCGCCAACGGCGTCCAGGAATGCCCAGCGATGACCGAGGCCAAGTAGAAGCAGCATGTAGGTTGCGATCTGCACCACGGCGCCTGTGTACACCACAGTGCTCGCGTGCACCACAGCGCCTGCGTACACCGCAACAGCCGTGTATAACGCAGCGCCTGACAATGCCACAGTGCTTGCGTGCACCACAGCGCCTGTGCATACCACAGCGACTGTGTTCACCGCAGCAGCCGTCTGCAACACAGCGCCTGTGTACACCACAATGCTTGCGTGCACCGTTGTGCATGTACACATCACAGCGCCTGTGCACGCCACAGCAACCGCGTACAACACAGCGCTGGTGTACACCAGAGCGTCTGTGTGCACAGGACAAGTAGAAGAAACATGTCGGTGAGGATATGCTGCGGACAGCTAAACACCGCACCAGGGAAGTGCTGATAATAGCATGCGATGTTCTTCCCTCCTCCTCCCCCACCTCGCCCTCCTTGTCCTCCTCCTCCTCCTCTTCCTCATCCTCCCCCACCTCCTTCTCCCTCTCCTCCCTCACCCTGTTATCCGTCGTGCTGGTCGGGGCTACAGCGCACTTGCGCATCTTAGTGTGCATCCAGACAACAGGTCTATTCAATCAGTCCGCTTGGTTTCCGGACGGCCAACTTTGCGGGAGCCTTCTGGACGCAGATAAGAGGAGTCAGGATGACGCGGGAGGGCCCGGGACGACTCGTAGATTCCATAGGCGTTCCTTCTTTACATGCGGATTTGCTTTCCAAGCTCGATCTATAACATTTTGATATGTGGAATCCACAGGCGCTCCATTTTATCATTCGGACTCTTTCTAAACTTAGATAAACGAAAGGGGTGTTCTGTTGCACATGCTTGCGGTGGTGCACACAGGTGCCGTGGTGTGCACAGGCGCTGTGGCGCACGCAGGCACTGTGGTGTACACTGGTGCTGTGTTACACACGGCTGCTGTGGTGCACGCAGGCGCCGTGGTGTACACAAACGCTGTAGTGCACGAACGAACTGTGGTGCACACTGGCGCTGTGTTGCATGCGGCTGCTGTGGTGTACATAGGCGCTGTGGTGTACAGAGGCGCTGTGGTGCACGCGGGCACTGTGGTGTACACAGACGCTGTGTAGCGGGTCGCCACCTACATACTGCTCCTGGCCGTCCGCCACCGGCCCCCTTTCCCCCCTTCCACATCCCCCCCCGGTGACGCCGGTCATCGCCGGGGAAACAAAAATATACTCCTTCTGGCCACGAACAAGTTCCCCGACAGGCATCAAAGGAAACGGCGCCAAAACAAGAGCCCCTCCTGAGCCCAAGTGTTCCGTATCCCTGAGTCTTCGCTGTACAGCCATCGCGCTGCCATATGAGGAACGCCAGCTAGGGAACTGAAGGGCCGTTCCTGGCTGCGGATAGCCTCGACAGCGAACAAGTTCCCCGACGCAGGCCTAAGGCACGGCCCGACCTGGGCACCAAGTGGTCCGTACTCCAGCGTCTCGGCTGCAGGGGAACGACGCGGAAGATCTGCCCCGTGGCCCTGCAGGCCGTGGTCCCGGGGAGCGCAGCCTGGCGAGAAGCCAGGGGCCACAGAACCAATGCCCCCCACGGAGAGGGGCGGGATGAGGGATACAGCAGAGATGGTCGCGCACACAGCTCAGAGCAGGAGGAGAAGACGGTGTGCAGCAGCGCTTCCCCGCCTCCGCAGCCATGTGCCTCAGAGGTCCCCCAGAAGGCCGTGCTTGCAGCACGCTTTTTCTGCACTGAACACGCGTTCGGTCAAGAACCAATGCCAGTGTATGCGCCACACGGGATGGAGAACGCTCTGGGGAGGGTAGGAGGCGAAGCACCTGGACTTGATGCCGCCCGTGGGGGGTCGGGGGGGGGGGGACAACGCCGACGAAGGATGACCGAAGGCTCACAACATCGACGCCGACGATTGACGACGACGACGACGACGACGACGACGACGACGACGACCTGTCATCCGAGGACGGCGACGCCGCCGACGACGGTGACCAAGACGCACTGGCCGCGACGCCGTCGACGACCTCGACGCCGAGCCCAACGACGGCGACTGACCGACGACCCCGACGCCGACGGCCAACCGCTGGCGGCGAGCGCCTGCTGCCACTTGGTCCCATAGTGTTCGACTGTGGGGTCCCTGGTCATTTTGCCGAAGATCTCGAGGTCCTGCTTCAGCTGAATGCAGAGTTCCTCGTCCCCCATGAGAAGGAGCAGGAGGCGGAGGAGGGAGAGGGGGAAGAGAAATGGGGAGGAGGACTTGGTCTGGGGGGAAAGATGAGGGATGGAGGTCTGGGGGGGAGAAGAATACTGGGATGCGGGGAGGGGGAAGAGAAGGGGAGGAGGAAGCGAAGGAATGGGAGGACGACTGGGAGATGAGGAGGAGGAGGAGACGGAGGAGCAGGAGGTGGAGGAGTAGAAGGAGGAGGATGAGGAGGAGGAGGAGAAGGAGGAAGATGAATGGGAAAAGGAGGAGGGGGAGGAGGAAGAGATGCGCAAGTGCGCTGTAGCGCCGACCCGCATGACGGAGGATTGGGTGAGGGAGGAGGAGGAGGAATGGGAAGAGGAGGAGGAGGAGGAGGAGGAGGAGGAGAAGAAGGAGGAGGAGGAGGAAGAGAAGGAGGAGGAGGAGAGGAGGAGGAGGAGGAGGAGGAGGAGGAGGAGGAGGAGAGAAGGGGAAACATGAGGAGGAGGAGAAGGAGGAGGAGAAGCAGGAGGAGGAGGAGAAGCAGTCGCAGGAGGAGGAGGAGGAGGAGAAGGAGGAGGAGTGATCTCGTCGCAGTCGGCAGTCGGTGTTGCCTCCGCTGGCTTCACAGAGGCCCTGCTGGCCCCCCAGCAGGAGGAGCAGGAGTAGGAGGCGCAGGAGAAGCAGGAGGGAGAAGAGAAGGAATGGGAGGAGCAAGCAAGCAATAACCCATGGAGTCCTGGAGCAAAGCAGCGGCCTGACGCTACAAACTGTTGGAACTCTGGGGGCATTACACCTGAACGCCGATCAACCTCTAAACGCGAGCTCCGTACTCTTACTGGAGAAAGGGGGATCATGAGGAGGATCCCTCCCCCGGAGGAGGACGACAACGACGAGGCTGTTGGCAAAGGCCCCCCCCCCCCGTGCGAAGCTCTGCGCTGGACCCCCGCAGAGCACCCAGACCCTTGACGCCGTGATTTTTTCACGACGTCGACACCCAAAGTTCTCGACCCCGAGTCGTTTCTTGACTCTCTCTCCTCCTCCTCCTCGTCCTCCTCCTCCTCCTCCTCGTCCTCCTCCGCCTCCTCCTCCTCGTCCTCCTCGTCCTCCTCCTCGTCCTCCTCCTCGTCCTCCTCCTCGAGCTCCTCCTCCTCCTCCTCTCCTCCTCGACCCCTTCCCCAGGACCAGCTTCTCACCCCGAGTCATTTTGTTGACTGTCCTGGGGCGCGGGCCCCAAGGGGCCGAAGTCAGCGAACCCCCCCCCCGTCTTGATGTTTTGACGTCGCGAGGGGGGCTGGGGCTCGGGGGGAGGGCTGAGTGGGTTTGTTCGGGACGCTCGAAGTCGCTTCTGGCCATCTTTCGGGCCTCCGGCAGGGCGACCGGGGAAGGACCTGAAGGGCAGCGGCAGCAGCAGCAGCAGCAGCAGCAGGAGGACGATTCCCGGAATCATTTCCCAGAGGAGTGCTGGGATGAGGGAGGCAGGCGTGAGAGCGGGGGCGGCGGCGGAGCTCTAGCGAGGCCTTCGCAGCATGGGCCATACATGTAGAGAACGCTCGCCCTTTTCCCCCTCCCCCCCTCAGAAAGAAAAGGCCTGCCCTGCGAGGTGCGGTAACAGCACACATCCTCGAGCGGTGCCGCAGCCTCCCCCCCCCGGGCATGGCGCCCGCCCTCCGTCGCGTGTGCACACCCGCATGCCTTGCTGATCTCGGGCACGTCTCGGCACCCTCTCCCCCAACGCGGCCAGGGCCACCGACAGGGGAGAGGGCGGCGGTGACCGACGGGTCCCAGAGCAAAGCCGAAGCTCGACCCCTGGCTGGTGAGGAGGAAGAGGAAAGGGGCGTAGGGGGAAACGTGGGAGGATAGGGAAAAGAAGTAGGACGATGATGAACGGAGCACGTCGGATAATGCCACGGACGGGAGAAGAGGGATGAGGAGACAAGATGCTGGGGGGTACGAACAGGAGGGGGAGTGTGGCGTGGGAGGTGAGGACGGAGGGGAGGAGAGATACGAGGAATGACGATGTTGATGATGCTGAGACAAGGGAGAAGCATGAAGGAGAGAAGATGATGGATAAATGTATATACTCATCGTGATGCTGACGATGATGATAGTTATGATGATGCTGATGATGATGATGGGCAGGACAATATGAGATGGGGATGAGAGACGAAGCTGCAGGTAATAATAGATAGGAGAAGAAAAGGATTGCCAGGAGAAGGGACGACAAGGCAGAGGAGAACGAGAAAGAGGGACACATGGGACGACACTTAGGACATACGCACGAACCGAAGGGCATACCGACGAGGGCAAGTCGGAACAGGATGCTGACACATGGAGGCAGGGATCATGTATGGAGCAGAGCAGGAGGACGGATGATAAGCCGGAAAAAGATGAGGGATTCAATGGAGAATGAGGACGAGGGCAAGCGTGATCGAACGAGGAGGGAGGATGAGGACAATAGACGAGGAGAAGAGGACGAGGGGGGCAAGGAAAAGGGTTAGTGAAGGACGATGGCGAGGACGATAGGATGACGAAACGAGATGATTGAAAGGATAACCATGGGAAGGAGCTCGTGGAAGGTGGACGATGGATGCGGAAGAGGACGAGGAGGAAGAATAGGTGACGATACTGATGATGATGATGCTGTCGATGATGATGTCGATGCTGCTGATGATGATCGCACAGTCCAAAAGTGATCCGTCGAAATACCGCAAACGCTCACCGCATGATGATGATGCTGATGATGATGGTGGTGGTGATGATACTGACGGTGACGATGGTGATTCTGAGTCTGAAAATGATGATGATGATGGTCATGATAATGATGCTGATGATGATAATGACGATGCTGATAGTGATGATGATACCGATGATGGTGAATATAGTGATGATGATCATCATCATGGCTCTACCGATGACGCGCTATTCGGACTCGTGCCTTCAAAGAACGCTTAAGCGGCCCCCGACCATCAGTGAAACTCAATGCCCAGGGACGCCCCCCTGGCAATCAAAAAGAGGTCCTGACAAGCAGAGGACGCGCGAGCTTCTTAAGATCAAGGCGGGTGGCAATCCTCATCCCGTGCTTTCAACTCTTCCCATTGGTCGGCCCGAGGAGAAGGAGGAAAAAGAAGAGGGCAGAAGCAGGCAGACTAACAAGGGATACGAGCGACGTTCGACGACGTCGACGGCGGCAGCAGGCGATGGCGACGGGGACGAGAGGTCCTCCGGGCTCATGGCAAGCAGGCCCTCCGACAGATGTGAGATGACCGCCTGGCAGGACTCCTCCTCGTCATCGTCGTCTTCTCCGTTCTCTCTCTCTCTCTCTGTCCGTCTTTCCTCTTACGACGATGCGACGACGCTCACAAATAGGTAGTACCCATTAGTGTTTCTATTATGTAGATGCTTTTGTTGATTCCCTTGTGTCATATCTTCTGCCTCTATACATACACAATACAAATATACTTGCATGCTTACGCACATACACATGACATGTAAATAAATACCGCCCCACCAGGCCCTGGGCCCCACACCTCCCCGGAACATCTCGAAGACGCTCCCGGTACCGCTCCCCCGGCCTTTCCGGGGAGCCTCCACAGCGCTCTAGGAGGGCCCAAGACGCCTCCCAGGAGCCCCCAGAATGCGAAAGGATGGTCCAAGACGCTCCCAAGCAGCCCAAATCAGCCTTCCGACGGCTCTCGAGGCTCCCAGGTGGCCTCCAAGAGACCCCAAGAGAGGTCCGAGAGGCGTCCCGGGACGGCCCGAAGAGGCCCAAATCATCGTTGTTCATTGATTTTTACTATGTTTGTTGGCTTCTCGCGTTTTCGAGCTTCCAATGGCCCAAGAGTACCACCCAAGAGACCCTCAGGACGGCCCCAAGACGGGCCAAGAAGGCTCCAAGACTGCCGAAGAGGCGCCCAGGACAGCCCCGAGACCAACCCAGAACAGGTCCAAAATGGGCCCAAGAGACCTCCGAGAGGCCTCCTGGACCCTCCAGAGGCCCCCAACACACACTCCCGATCCCTGAGAGGCCCCAAGAAGACCCCGACGAGGCTCCAAGAAGACCCCGGTCCCTGAGAGGCCCCAAAAGAGCTGCGAGAGCCGTCCCGAGAGAGCCCAAAGGGTAAAACCGTTGATTTTCAATGTTTTTTAATGTTCTTCGCCTTCTCACGTTTTCCCGCTTCCAACCCTCGAAGATCGAGGATTTGGAACAAACATCCCTTTTTTCAAAGTGGGCATCCTTCTCGGAGATCCCACACATCCCCTGACATCTGGCCGATACCGCGCCTCCCGCCTTCCCAGGGGGCCCACAAGACGCCCGAGGACAGCCCAAGACGACCCCAAGGATCCCCCAGAACGTAAGGAACGGCCCAACACGCTCCCGCGCAGCCCGAGACACCCTTCCAACGGCTCTCCAGGCTTCCAGGAGGCCTCCAAAACACCCAGGGGGTCGGGAAGATCCCACACCCCTGAGGGGCTTGGCTAACAAAACCCGCGAGGAAAAAACAACGCCGAGCAGCGCCGAGGAACTGGAACAAAAATGGGAATCCCACAATCCTTTTTTTCTATTTTAGCCCCCTGTCTAATCTTGCACAACAGACTACAATTCAGACCCCCCTCACCTCCCAAAAGAGAACCCAGGAAGCCTTTGAGGGCCCCAAATCGTTGAACACCTGGAGGGAATTCATGATTTCTGCGTTTCCGCAATTCCCCTTCTACGGGATTCCGAGAACTGTGCAGGACCTCCAAGGGAGTCCTGGACGCAAGAAGCAACCAAAATGGTATTACATGAGTTAGCCTATCAAGCCTAGCTAGAATTTGAGCGCGTGCGAAGCGCGGGATGGTTCTAGTACGTGTGTATATATATATGAATAAATGAATACCTAGATCAATCAATAAGTAAATGCATGAAGGCATGAGTCCACACACATATATATAAATATCTATCTATCTATCTATCTATATATATATCAATATATCTATATATATATATCTATCCATCTATCTATATATAGATATGTCTATATATATATCTATCTATCTATCTATCTATATATCTATATATCTATCTGTCTATCTATCTATCTATCTATCTATCTATCTATCTATCTATCTATCTATAGATATATGCACATAAAGATGCACACGCACGCAAATGCTCCCAACGGAGGGCTCCAAACCAAATCGTCTCGTCTCTTCACTTGCTCGTCGGGCGGCCCAGGTAGCCTAGTCCTTGTCCTCCGTCGGTCATTTTCCTACTCTTCCTTCACCCTCTAACACCCTCTTCAGTCTCCACCTCCTTCTTCCCTCCCTCCCTCCCTCACTCGTCCTCCTCCTCCTCCCTGCCTTTCTCCCTCCTCCTCCTCCTCCTCCTCCTCCTCCTATTCCTTCTGTCTTCTCGGCTGCTGCTCCTCCTGCCCCGACTCGGCCGATGCAAACTCCGTCGATTACCCCTCCCTCGCTGCTACTACTCCCCCTCCTCCTCCTCCTCCTCCTCCTTCTTTCTCCCTCGCTCCTCCCACAAGGACTTCGACGCCCACTGAGGCGAAGACGACACAGAAGACATCGGACCTCCTCACCCTCCGACAGGCTGGCAATGACCTCCTCCTCCTCCTCCTCCTCCTCCTCCTCCTTCTCGTCGTCGTCGTCGCCGTCTTTGCCAGCGTCGATCGTCGTTCGACTGCTGCTGCCGTCAGCGTTGCTCGTCGTCGTCGTCGCCAACGTCACCGTCGACGCCGACGCCGAAGTTGAAATCGTCGTCGCTCGCCGTCGTCGCCGTCACCACTGTCGTTTTCGTCGTCGCCTTCGTCGTCGCCTATGTCGTCATCATCGTTGACGTCTTCGTCGAGGTGTTCTCCGTTACCATGGCCGGCACTGTCAGTAGATCGTCGTTCGTCGCCTTCTTGGCCGTCGTCCGTGGTCGTCCCCGTCGCCGCCCTCGTCGTCTTCGTCGTCGTTGACGTGGCCGCCGCCGCCGTCTTCGGCTTTTTCGCCGTTGTCGACGTCGACGTCGCCGTCGAGGTCGTCGCCGTCGAGGTCGTCTTCGTCGTCGCCCTTGAGGACCAGGACGAGGAATAGGAGGAATAGGAGGAGGAGGGGGAAGAGGAGGATGACGAGGAGGAGGGCGAGGAGGAGGAGGAGGAGGAGGAGGAGGCGGAGGAGGAGGAGGGGGAGGAGGGGGAGGAGGAGGAGGAGGAGGAGGAGGGCGAGAGGAGGAGGAGGAGGAGGAGGAGGAGGAGGCGGGGGAGGTGGCCCGCCGCCGCCAGAGAGGAGGCGCCTGGCAGGTGGTCGGCGCCGGCGCCGCGGACGCCCTGCCCGGGGTCGGCACGGCCTTCTGGTGGGGCCCCTGCGGTCGGCGCGGCGCGGGGGGCCGACCCAGCTCGGGGGCGGCCAAGAGGGGGGTGTTCAAGAGGGGGGGGTGCAAATCATGACCGGCGGCATGTGCGCGGCCCAGCGGGGGGGCCAGGGACGTAATAAAATAAGAAGAGGCGCCACGAAATCTGGGAGATATCATGACCCCCGCCATGATATCCCCCCCCCCCTAGTCATCACCCCCCTCTTTTCCACCCCTGAACCCAGCGATCCCGGCGTCTCAATGTTTCCGAGCCGGGCGGGTTCGCTCTGTCTCGGGCCCGGCGCAAACTATGGCGCAGGAAGATGGGGTTTGGGGGCTCCGGGCGTGACGTGTTACGACGTCTCAATCTTTTCGCTGCGTCGGAACTCAGGGAGAGGGCGACGACGAGGGCCTGACAAGGCATGTGTCGATTCTTATCCCAGGCTTTGGCGAGTTTTCGACTGGACCAAAGATGTGGGGCCCAACCCCGACAGCGGTGCGCCCATCCTCGACAGCGTCCACGTCCAAAGAGCCCCCTGTGGGATGTGTCCCAGGGTTCCCCTACTTTCTGAGCGGCTTCATTTGTCGAAAACTCGATTGGCCAAAAATTACGATGGTATTTTTTTCACTATTTTTGACCCGTGGGGGCCCTCACTGGGCCTCGTGACTGTCAGGGAAAGACTCAGGATGAAAAACCCGTCCCCGGGAAGGGGTCGAGACCTCTGGGGGTCGACGCTGTGGCAACAATCATGACGTCGGGGTTCTGCGGGGGCGGGGCGGTTTCGTACCTCCCTGGGCCCGCCCCCCCAAGGCTCAGCTTTCCTGGCTCCGCATCGCCGTCTCATTCGAAGAAACAGGCTAGGCGCCCGCCAATGCGGGCTCTGGCGCATGGCCGCGCCGGCGCGCGCGGGAGAGAGCGGAACCGCGCCCTCCGACGCTCGCGCGTCCTCCTCATCCTCCTACAGCCCTCCGCACCTCCGCGATCTCCCTCCGTTTCCCCGTCGACGATCCCCCTTCGATCCTCCTCCCTCCACTTCGTGATCCTCCTCCTCCCCCCGGCTCCTCCCTCCTCGATACTCCTCCGAATTGCAACGTCCCTTCCGAAAAAGGAGGGCGCGCACGAAGATGAGGACGACGGCCGCGGCGACGACTGCAAAGAGGGCCACGGCGATGACGGCAACGATGGCGACGGCTGCAAAGACGAGCGACGAGAGCGAAGACGAGGGAGGCGACTGCTATGAGGGCGGCGACGGCGACGGCGACGATGACGCACGCGACTGCTGCTGCTGCGAATGCAACTACAACTAAGATCGCTACACCTACTACGTGCTCTACAACTGCAGCGGCTACTATTGCGACTACAGCAGCTACTGGTAGTACGATTACGACTGCAGCTACTACTGCTACGACGACTACTACTACTACAACAGCTACAACAACTACTACTACTACTACTACTACTACTACTACTACTACTACTACTACTACTACTACTACCACTGATACTACTTCTAC